TCAGTACAGAGAATAAAAAGATAAGGAGATAAAGGATTTCCTTATCCGATACCTCTTGAGGGAATTATACTCCCTTTAGCTTCACCATTGAGTAGGACTTGATAAGGGTTATGATTCATAATGTATAGAGTTTTGGCTTTTAAAGTTTAATATTTAAAAAAAATAGTTTATAATTTTTCACCCTAAACTCTAAATGTTAAACTAAACATCCTCTTTATTATGTTATTTTATCTTCTAAATTTAAATCTTAATTATTGGTTGTGTATAAATAAATGATATATATATATATATACACACACAGATATATTTTATTTTTTCTTCTTTGCATTTATGTAGCCTTAATTCTAATTATGAACAAGTTAATTGATGACGAAAAAAACAAGTTAATTAAAAAATGAATGTACGAGAATAATTGTGAACAAAATAACAATACACAATACATAATAACCAATGGAACCCTCCCAAATGTTTGAAAAATTGGCTGATTGATTCAGATTATTAACCCAAAATATTTCATTTTCAAAGAAGTACTGCGAGGGACATTGATAAGATTTACTTATAAAAGGCCAACAAAACACTCTAGCAAATTAAAGAGTTTAACGATGGAGAAGACTATGTGATAAAGCCAACAATACACTCTGGTAATTTAAAAATGGATTCGATTAAAATTTACAAGTAATTTTGTTTTAAAAAATTATCTTCAACATTTACAATAGATTCCGACGACTCTTGTAAATAATTGCAAATTTGTTGCAAAATTGCAATGGATTTGCGAGAGATATATGATTCCCTACAAATATCCCGTGCATTCGTCGCAAATTTTCTCCCTCGCAATTTGTCCTCGCAGATCGATTGTTTTCTTGTAGTCTCTTATTATCTCAAGGAAAATAACTCAAAACCTTAAGCGTCTCAATCTCTTAAACTCATAAGTTATGCCACACATTTGGCTTTTCGAGAGATATCACAAACATGAAACCCTAATCCAAATAGGAAATTATACATTGTTTAGATAACTCCTAAACTTACTTTTCCTGAAACCATTACTAGGTAAGATTGAGTTTAGCTTGGGCCTCAAGCCTTCTTCAAGCTTATTCCAACATGACCGAGACACAAGTCGCTACTAAAAAAGTGTAAAATTTGCATTTCAAGAACAACATAAAACTTCTCCCTCTTCAAAATCTTCTTAAACGAAAACTGCATAAGCGAAAGCAACAAAGAATAAACTAGTTCCATATTTAGGATTGATTGCCCTTGCATCGGTCATAGATTAATTGTTTTAACTTTTCATAATCATTACTTTGTCCATGCATGATCCGTGTTTTGCATATTTTCATGGTAATTTCATTTGTCTGTGCTAACTTGTTTAAATTTTTCATCCTTGTACATAAATATTTTCCATTATTCTTTATAAGTTCTATATTTCGTGAATTTGAATGTTTTGGTCTTACAACCCCCCCCCCCC